CTCTCTCTCTCTCTCTCTCTCTCTCTCTCTTCCTTTCTCTCTTAAAGTGTTGATTCTTGTGTGACGTTATGCTAATTGAGTGTTTATGTAATGCTTAATACCGCACGTTATGAATAACAACTAATATTTACAGCAATCAACATGTATTTCAAGAATTATTGCAATTTTTCATTAGAATTTGAATCAATATTTAATTGAAAAATAAATTTAAATAATATTAAATATTTAAAACATTATATTTAGCCATATTATTGCATACATTATACGACATAATATTTGTTATAGCAGTTTATTGGATAGAATGCATACTTTGAGTTAATCCTAATTAAGGAAAAATTTACAAAATACCCTAAATTTGTAGTTAAACTCAATATCTCATTAAAATTGTAGCATTTAATACAATAAAAATAATAAAAAGACTAACATTTGTCAAAATTATCTTTAATTTCAATGAAAACAGTTGTCGAGCCCTTAAGCCCTCCGCCATCCGTTGCCATCACTTCTATAGTAAACTTCGGACTCGTCTTTGGGTCTAAACAACAAACAGCCGTCGATATGACACCAGTTTGGCCATCAATACTGAACACATTGTCTCCGTTTTTGTCGATAGCATTTACTTCTATAGAGTAGTGGACTTTGGCGTTGAGTTCTTGGTTTGGGTCGTCGTTATCGATGGCCATAACTGCGAGGACAGGAGTGCCGGCCGTTGCGTTGTCGGCGACACAACCCCTGTATATACTTTGTTGAAATACAGGCGCGTTATCGTTGATATCCTTAACGGTGATCAACACATCTGCAAAACCCACAGTAGGACTATATCCCGGTCCGCCCTCATCGGCGGCCAATACAGTGAAGCGCCAGTTCGGGCGTCCGGTCGGCAAATCCCTGTCCAGAGGACGCCTCATATATATTGCACCCGTGTTTGCGTCAATTGTAAATACATTGTCAGAGTCTTGTGTTTCAGAGACGCCTTCACCGGACAAGAAGTAAACCAATTGCTGGTTTTGGTGCCGATTGGGATCACTGGCCGACACTTGTAACACACGTTTCGGAAGGTGATTGTCGTCTTCTTCAGTAAGCATTGTTTGGTATAGTTGTCGGTCAAAGTGCGGCGGATTGTCGTTCACATCTTTGACGTATATAACAAGAGTCGTATAGTTTTCATTTAAGAGGTCTGAGGCCACTAAACGCAGCTTATATTGCGATCGGCGCTCGTAGTCAAGCGGTGCCGACACATATATGGCTCCCGATTCCCCGTCCACTGCAAACACACCTCCGATATTACCTCTCGTTATCTCGTAGTGTAGTTTTGAGGCTTAAAAGTCAATACAATTAGAAATCATAATAAACATTATTATTAAAATTAATATCTCTCACATTTATCCATGTCTTTGGCCGTAAGTGTGATGAATGTATGGCCAATGTCTTCGTCTTCGTTCACTTCAGCCTCGTATATGCTTTGATAAAAAAATGGCGGACAATCATTCTTGTCAGAGATATCAATGCGAATCAATTGAGTCATTGAATTGGAGTCGTTGGACATCATGTGCCTCCTGTCGGATGGCCGGCCGTCCTCTGCCCTCACGAGTAGGGCGTAGACCTGTCTCTCTTCCCGATCAAACTCCACGACTGTAAATATCTCTCCCGTTTGCGGGTCTATCGCGAAGAACCGTTGGTCACCGCCAACGATGGCGTACGAGACCTGATTGTTGGGATGAGTGCCGTCCCGGTCTATGGCCTGGACTCGGGTCACACGAGTGCCCGGAGGCATACCCTCTAATACAGACACCCGATCGGAGCTATTAAACACCGGCCACTCGTCGTTCACGTCTTCTAATACAATATTAACCACTGTTTCGCTCGTCAACTGGCGATCAATACCAGAGTCCATCGCTCGCACCGTTAAGTTATACTCACGTTTGGTCTCATAATCGAGGCCTGAATTAACGCAAATGTCAGCCCATATGACGCCCCTGTCGTCCAAACGGTGTCTTAAATAAAAATTATTACTCTTTAGGGTCTCCCGTATGTGTCCGCCACTGATTGACAATTGAAATTTGGGTTCATTTGCTACCAATGAGTAGAAAACGGTTGGATTGGTTGCAATTCCCGAACGAGCTTTTAGTGAAATGACTGTTTGGCCGATTTCTAAGTCTTCGCGTATAGAAACGGGTCCATACATGGGTTGGTCCCAAACTGGGGGTCCACTCTCATTAACAACATTGATCACAATGTCTACCATTTTGCTTTGTTGTGGCCGACCATTGTCTGTTGCGACGCCTCTAAGCCAATACCGGTTTTGGTCACCAATTAATTTCTCCAGTGATACCCAACCACTCGACGGGTTTATACGGAAATAGTCAACATCTGTGCTATTGTTAGGATCGGGAGCTAAGCTATAAGTGATAGCACTGTTATTACCCGAATCCTCGTCGGACGCCACGAGGCGAACAATATTAGTGCCGACACGAGTGTCAGCTTTTATCACTTCTATATATTCTTCGCGATCAAAAAGTGGCTGATTATCGTTGATATCAGTGATCTTAACGGTAAAAGTGCAAAAGCCTTGGAATGTCTGCGAGTTTGTGTCTGAAGCCCTCACTGTAACCCATGGGACATAGCGTGAGTCCTCCCTATCAAACACTGTATTAGTCTTCACTTCACCGCTCACTTCGTCTACAACAAAGTCAAATCTATCCTCATTTGGGAGTCGAAGGATTGAGTATTTGATTCGTCCATTGGATCCCTCGTAGAGATGGGCAGCTCTAACAGTGCCTACAGTCGAGCCATTGGGAGAGTCCTCCTCTATCCCAAAGGTGTAGTGATCGCAGTCTTTGAAAACCAATTTATTGCCGATGTTATCAACAATTGGTACAAATTTTGTGGTAATTTGTGTTTCTGTAGTAACAGATTCTGTGCTAACAAATTGTGTGCCATAACCGCCGGACCCGTCATCCCTTTCTGTCACATTCACTACATAATCCTCCAATTCGTTGTTCATCTCTGAGAGAAATGTAATAAATGATTGTTTATAGCAATTAATCAAATGAATTATAATTTATAAGATTATAATATAATGATAAATAAATGAATACATACTCTCGACAGATATAAATGTGTTGGCGGACGACGTTTGAAAGGTTCCCTCAACACTCATCTCACACTTATAGGTACCGCTAGTCCTCACGTTTGTTAGATATACTGATATGCAGTAATGTAATGGTCTGAGGCCACCTTTACAGTCATCCCATTCATCATGAGATGATTGCTTCAGCTTTGTATTCATGAATTCATATGAAATACAAGTGAGTTATTAAGGTATAAAAACCATAATATAGTTGTAACAATTGAATGATAAGTTATCATTGATAACTAACGTCGAAATCAAATGAATGCAATGGAAACGCTTGCTTAACAGGTCTTCCTCGTGGAGTCCATCTAAAGAACTCCATCTCATTGTCGTCGGAATCGTTAGGCATTATATAAAAATATTTCATTGAATACAGAGTTTCGTTATACAACTCGTACCGACACTTGATTTGGACATCACTGCCCTCTGGAACCGATTCCGGGCCAATGATAGCCACTATTTTGAATCCAATGCTCGCTATTTATATAATATACATATTATGAATATAATTATGTTTTTACAAAAATGTAATTTTTAGTAAAATGTTGTAAATAATAGACAAACGATTGTAATTGAGTGCCAAAATAGCGGTCACTAATAATATGAGATTCGTTTCCATTTCTTGATTTCAAATAAACTTTTCAAAATTGTCAACAATTGCTAATATTTTATATTAAATATGTTTTTAAAGTGAAGTAAATTATTTATATTAAAATTAATACTTGATAATAGTTGTTGAGATACTATCCAATAAATGTCTTTATTGAATTAATAAGCAATATGTATTAGCATCAATTTGCTCTCTCTCTCTCTCTCTCTCTCTCTCTCTCGCTCTC